CTACTCCCTTCCTCTCTCCTCCCCTACCTGCCCTCTGGCACCCACCCCCAATCCACTCCTCCTCTGTTTCTGTTCAGAAAGGGACAGGCTTCCCATGGATATCAACAAAGAATGACATATCAACTTGCAGTAAGACTAAGCACCTCCCCCCTATATTAAGACTGGGCAAGGCAACCCAGCACAGTATGAGAACTAGGTTCCCAAGAGACAGCTAAAACATTAGGGACAGTCCCTGTTCCCATTGTTGGGAGTCCCACAAGTAGATCAAGCTATACAACTGTCACATATATGTAGAGGGCCTAGGCTGGTCCTTTGAAGGCTCTCTGGTTGTTGGTTCAGACTCTGTGAGTTCCTATGAGCCAGGTTAGTTATTTCTGTGGGTTTTCTTGTAATGTCTTTGATTTCTCTGCCTTGTACAATCCTACTTCCTTCTCTTCAACAAGATTCTTGGAGTTTGGTCTAATGTTTGACTATGTGTCCCTGAATCTGTTTCCAACAGTTGACTAGATGAATGCTCTCTGATGACAATTGGGGTAGTCACAATCTGATCACAGGAGATGGCCAGTTCAGGCTACATATCCACAATTGCTAAGAGTCTTGGGGTCATCTTTGTAGAATGGCTGCCATGAAGAATGCAAACAACAAGGGCTGGTGAGGATATGGGCAGGCAGGGGCAGGGATGGCAGGGCCATTTGCTATAGCTGAGAAGGTAAATTAATGGAGCCATTATGGAAATAAATACAGAGGACTTACCAAGAGCTAAAAATAGAAAACCACACCTTCCTGTTATATTACTCTAGTAGTTATCTGAAGGGAACTGAGTTAGTATGCAAAAAAGATATGTGCGTATGCATAATTATTGTAGCCCTATTCTCATTGGTCAACATACTGGAATCTGCCTAGGTTGATCAACAATCAACAGGTGAATGAATATGGATATATATATATATATATATATATATATATGATATTATTCAACCATAAAAATGAAATTATGTAATTTGCAGAAAAACATAGAACAAATGTAGAACACTGAGGAGTTTTGTTCTTTCTTTTAAAAATATCATCAATGTACATTTATTATACTTTAGCCACATTAACCTTGCATAACCATTTCCTATCCCACCCACTCTTGTCATAGTCATCTTTCTGACCCCAAATAGTCTTCCTATTATGTTCATGTCGTGTGTGTGTGTGTGTGTGTGTGTGTGTGTGTGTGTAGATAGATACAAACATGTAGGTAAAGGACACATAGATCTGTAGTGAGATCTATGCACCCCACCCCCGTGTACCTGTAGCCCTGACTACACCTGTCTGGGTGTGGTCACAGGTGTGGATGTGATGGAGAGGAGGATTAGGTCTGGGGTCCTGACCTATCCACAAACTCTTGGTTCTGGTCAGGTCACAGACAGCAGCCTGTGTTGATCCTTAGAGTGGTCATCTGTTTCTTGTGTAAGTGCCTTCTCCACGAATAAAATTATACTAACCTATATTGAGCCCAGTCCAGTGAATCTTGATCTGCACATCCATATAGATCTATATTCTAAACTCTGAATATGCCAAGGAAGCACTCCATCACTCTGCTACATGCAGCCCACATGCTAGCTTCTGCACATGATAGAAAACACGTGATCTCTGTCTTTCTGAATCTGGCATTTGGCTGAAGAAACAGAAATGTTACTCAGAGAAAAGTGTGAAAACTACACCCAGATCCTGGAAGGAGAGGAAACACAGTCTCAACCACATGATTAGCCAGTGTGATAGCTAATCTTGGTTGTCAAATTGACACACCTTGGGACAGAGAACTTCAGCTTATGAATTGCCTCCCTTAGATTGGACTGTGGGTCTGTCTGTGGCATGTCCTCAATTGTTGATTGACATGGGAAGCCATTGTGGGGCTGAGCCACCCCCACTTTGTCTTGGGAGAAATAAGAAAGGCAGCTCAATGTGACATGGAAGCAGGCCAGTAAGTAATTTTCCTTTGTGGCTTCTTCTTGAGATTTTGCTTTGAGATTCTGCCTTTGATGGTAGACTATAAGTAAGCTAAAATAAACTATTTCCTTCTGAAATGCTTCCTGTCATGGAGTCTTAGCAACAGAAAGCAAACCAGATCTGTCCCTCATCTTTGGGGAAGATTGCCTGGTAATCCTAGTCCTAGGATAAGCCCATGGGTCTCACAAGTTTAAATCCAATGTGGGGATCTAATGTGACAGTGACTCCTCCTGCATGCCAGGCCACCACTACAGACTGAATCTATCTTGACCCTCCCCATACATTTGAGTGTCATCAGCCTTGGTAGTGGGAGGGGCCTACTTACTATTTGAGATTGAGCTACTCTTGGGACATAAAAAGAAGGAACAGTCAAATGTCACGGAGCTCCGGGATGCCCTGGCACAGTGTCCAGGTGTGAAATGGTCACAAGAGACAGCCAAGAAGAGAGGCAGTGTCATCTGGACATAATAAGAAGTTAAGGCAGCAGATGAGTTGCTGGTTGGCAACAGGAATAAGAATTTCAATCAGGAAACTGATATTTGGGACAGGGGACCAAACAGAAATGTTATAAATAGTGCTGTTATCCACTGAGTCATGTATAGACACTAATGATCAGGGCTGCTTGAGGGCCAATCTTCCCCTAAAGCACAAGAGATTCTGGGGATATTAGACTGACCCTTGGGTAATATAATGGGGTTACCAGGGTCTTTGGCCCATAACAACTGGAGGGTTCTTTGCTCCCTCTCTCCCTATGACAAAAGAAAACATTCAAGACATTCCTAAGTTGTGTTTACATTCTTCACAGCCAGGACATGCCTGGTTCTTGAATCTTTGTCAGTAATAACACATACTTAGGTCCCTCCACTGACTACCTCAGGGCAACTCATTCTACAAGCCAACCTCACAGGGTGAGTCACATGTCAGAGATGTTCACTTCCCCTCTATCAGTACCTAGTCCCTCACACAAGGTGCTTCAGCTATGTGCCATCAATTTACTCCAGTTTCCCTTCTTTGGGCTTAGTTTTTAAAGTTTCCCACTTTTGGCTCAATGTTCATGATTATCACATTAACTTTACTCTCCATATAACAAATTTATTTCCATTGTTCTGGTTTGTAGAGTCAAACTCACTTTGCAGGTAGGTTCTGACTGCTTGGAGGAGAGGGGAATTATTTCCTCTCCTTCACAAATGCCACACTTCCAAGAATGCGTGAGTATTAGAGCACAGGAGCTTTATGTCTGCAAATGGTTGGCAGTGTGAACTAACACTGAACTCACTATAGTGTGAAGAACCTGAGAATTTGATATTATAAACCACATCAATTTCTTAGAAATGTTCAGTGGTTATTTCTACATCAGTAGGTCTCAACCATTTTTTTTCTTCTTTTCTGAGATGGGATTCTTTCTATGTAGCCCAGGTTGATCACAAATTCACAGAGCTTAGGCTAACTTCAAACTCATAGATGTCTTTCATAAGCAGTGGTATTTGCAGGTATGCACTGGTTTCAACCCACTGTTCCACTCAAGTCCAAGAGTAGCATGCTAACATGATCAAAATATGCCTGGTCAGATTAAAAGCTGGTAAGGTTTGGCACAATGTTAGGGATTGTAGGTTATTTTAAAAAATTCCTTCCAAGAAATTTAGATACATTCACTCCTCCCAATCTTGTTTATCTTCATGGTTAGTAACTGGTTAGTTAGGGTTTTTGTTTGTTTTGTTTTGTCTTTTTGTTTTTTGATTTGACATTGCCTCTGAAATTTCCCCTTGTTAGTGTTTTCTCTCTTGTAAGCATAGTTAAAGCATTTGGAAACACGATTCTGCCATTTAGCAAAGTTCTTCTTTCCTAACTTTACAATCCCCAGATACTCAGAAGAACAGGTTTTATGGGGAGACTGACAACAGACTGGAGATGTACATGAGTGTTCTCAGAGAGAAAAGCCTAACCCAGGCATTGCCCAGAGTGCCCAAAAGTGGAATGCAGCTTGAACCTGGAAGATCATGACACAAAGTCAGGATCTCCTTCCTCAGGTCCCTTTGACTCCAGTGATGGAGGGACAAGGAGTAGCAACAGTCCTTGTTTTCCAAAGAATCATCAGTTAAAAGTTGTATTAGGCATATGCTTTTTCAGCTTTTAAGCATGCACTATGTTTTCACAGTGAAAACACAGTCAGAAGTCATGAGTTAGAAATCTATACCCTATCATCTCCTGCTTGAATAACCAATGATCCAAGACCTAGGTGAAGCAGGAAAGCATTGGGCTTTAAAAGCCCAACAACACTACATGGCAGGATCCAAGTGAGAGCAACAGGCCAGCACACAGTGAACTATCATGTATGGGTAGGCAAGAGTATCTTTAAAAGGGAAATGGGTCAATGTCTCCCACTGAATCCAGAAAGACAGTAAGTCAACAATGAAAATCAGCTCCGCAGCACAGACCTGGCTCTCATGCTGTAGCTGAACTTGGCAGCCAACTTCCCTTGAGATGCCCTAAGTGTAAGTTTGGAGTGTTTGTGTTTGGCAAAAAGTAAACATCAAAATTTCATGTCTTACTATTGTGTCAGAAAATAGTGCAATAGTCAGAAAATGGGCAATAAGAGTATACCACGAATTTACTCCCCTGGATGACCAGAAGCAATTATACGTCACACCAGAATGGATATGCCTTGTGAACTGAGAATGAAGTGTGTAATATCAAGGAACAAAATGCCATGTGACAGTGCCCTTTGATGTTAAGTCAGAAAGGTAATTCAGGAAACGATGACAGATGAATTCTAAAACAACAGGAAAAGAAATCGTGTTTCCTACCCAACCTGAAAATATAACCAGGAAAGCAGTATTGCTCAATTTTATAATCATCTCTTTATTAACAAAAACAATAACAAGGGAAGAATGCTGCATGTGAGGACAACAGCCCCTCAGCAGGGTATAAAAGAGGATGTGGACAGGGAGACTTCCACTTCCAAATCTTTCAACCCACCTCCTTGTAAACCCGCTCAGAACCTCCACCTCTCACACCATGGTCAACTCCTGTTGTGGCTCTATCTGCTCTGAGGAGGGCTGTGGCCAAGGCTGCTGCCAGACCAGCTGCTGCCAGACTACCTGCTGCCGCCCCAGCTGCTGCCGCCCCAGCTGCTGTGTGTCCAGCTGTTGCAGACCCTCTTGCTGCATCTCCAGCTGCTGCAGGCCTTCCTGCTGCCGCCCCAGCTGCTGCAGCCCCAGCTGCTGTGTGTCCAGCTGCTGCAGACCCTCTTGCTGCATCTCCAGCTGCTGCAGGCCTTCCTGCTGCCGCCCAAGCTGCTGCAGCCCCAGCTGCTGTGTTTCCAGCTGCTGCAGACCCTCTTGCTGCATTTCCAGCTACTGCCGCCCCTGCTGTAGCAGTTCCAGCTGTTGTGGATCCAGCTGCTGCCGCCCCACCTGCTGCATTTCTAGCTGCTGCAGGCCTTCTTGCTGCCAGCCTACCTGCTGTGTGTCCAGCTGTTGCAGGCCCAGCTGTTGTGTGTCTAGCTGTTGCAGACCCAGCTGCTGCCAGCCCACCTGCTGTCGCCCAGCATGCTCTAGTGGTTCTTGTTGCTGAGAGTTCTCACCCACAGTCTCCCCTTCTTTACCAACTAACATTCCTGATGTAGACTACCTGTGAGCTGAGTCCTGCAAGGCCAGGCACAAGCCCTTCACTCCAGTTGATTAATATTCTGTTTTTGGCTACAAATATACCCTATATCTCACTATAGTTTTCTCTATTTTCTATATGAACAGAACTTTGAATTCCCTTTAGATTCCTTGAAACTATTATTTTATTATGTTACCCCCTTATGGATACACTGTTCTCTGCCCTATTCCTAAAATGGAGTCATTCCTACAACTTAAATAAATGTGGATTTTGCAGCCATATAACTATAAAAGCATTTTGTCTTTTTTTCCCTTCCTGTTGCCACACTATCATCTTTTCTGAAGTCTATCTCTAAGAATGAAAAGGCCACAGGACATGGTGCCACACATGCTAGCTCTTTCCCCCCAGAAATTGTCATTGGAAAGCATAAATATGTTTAGAGCCAGTAGCTGGATCCCTCCTGGACAGTCTCTTACAAAGATCAGGCTTTAGGCAGAAGAGTTCAAGCCTCTGTGCTCCTACATGTATTTAAGGGGCTATCAGCAGGCAGCATGTTGAAACAGGCTCTGTTTAAGGGGCTGTCATAAGACATCTGTGCTCTGTTGGGTTTGGTAAGAGTAGAACTTTACACAGGAACTTTTGCAGGAACAATAACAAGGAAAGGCTCCCCATAGGAACCTACAAGAAACTTCCAGGGAGTTTACAGTAGTAGAAGCAAAGTGTGTTTTTCATAAATGACATCATTTGACAGGAAGGTTCTACAATTTGAGCAGGACTACATACAGTCTTTCTTTCTTAGAGGCAAAGTGCCTGGACGTTTGCACTGATACTCAGTTATCACCATCTGTGACAACTCGACATAGGAGAGATGCAGGTAGGGCAGGTATGTGTAGAGAAAGTAGCATATGTGTATGAAAAAAAAAATTATTCCCAAAACACAGCACACTGCAAATGAGCAGTGTGAGCCACCTGCATTGTGGGCTTACAATAGCTTAAGGATGGGGAATCATAGGATAAAGGGCACCTGTGTAGAGCATCTTTTTTGTCCTTTCATGTCCCTTCCTCTATTTACTCCAGCTCATTAATCAGAACAACTAGAGGAAGTTATAGTAGGCACATCAGATGCCTTCTTTGAAGAGCCACTTTGATCACATCCTGAGACTTTTGAGCCAGTGGCTATTATGTTCTTATTTAAATACAGCTGTTATTCTTTGCCATTTACATTTAGCACTCAAACTGTAATTGCCAGGACTGCACAGTGGGACATCAGTGCTAAATATACTGTTCATCAGGGTCCCTACTTCACCATGGTGAAGCAGTCAGTTGCTTTGATTCAATAACAGGGATTCAGAAGCACTATATCCTTTCAGACCATAATGTGACAAAGAGCAGGAGATTTAAGACAACCTGAAGTTAAAACAGTGAATTTATATGACTCAGAACTGTATCTTCTTCTTAACTTTATATCATTAGGGCTCCATTTGCGTTCCATACAAGATACTGTTAGCTCACTTCTGCCAACATTTTAGATACCTCACCATAGATACAATTGTATCTATCAATTGGTCTTAGGTCTTCTACTGCCATTTGTTATGATATATTTGCTTTATGGGGATTGTCCTAGTGAATGCTATTGAAATCTGATTTGATTGACTATGGTGGGATGGTTGTTTACATTGTGTGAAGATGTGTCACTATGATAGGTTTACTAAAGAGCTGAATGGCCAATAGCTAGGCGGGACTTCTGGGGAGAAAGGGGAACTTGGAATGAATCTAGGAGCATGGGAGACATCAGCAAGACACTGAGGAAGTTGGGTATATAATATGGAGGAGAGGTAATGAGCTACATGGAAAGATGTAGATTAATAGAAACAGGTTATAAGAGCTAGTTTGAAATAAGCCTAAACTAAGCCCAAATTTTCATAATTAATAATAAGTTTCCATGTCATTATTTGGGGGTTGGTGCTCCAAAGAAAGTCTGATGAGAAAGCTTGCTACATTTGGTGCCTCGCATTGGGCAACAAATGATGTTTTCTGTCCACTTAGCAGATGCACATGAACTCGTTAATATTTTAATTATTATCTGCAGCTCCATGGCCCCCCAGTAAGCACCCCATAGGCCACTCAGGCCACAGCCTTGAGGGCCTTCTGGTCCTGCTAACCAGATCTTGCATGACCACCATATGTAGGTTTAAATTATCATTCTATTTACCAACAAAGACACAGAAGTCAGATATGAGGGTGAAAACCCTGCTAAATCAGAGAAGCCAAGAAGCAACCGGCTGACTTTGCTTTTTGGCCAGAGACACAGAATTGTGTCACTCACCCTAAAACCAAAGGGATGTGCCTAACTCTAGGTTTGCCCTTTCCTTCTTTCTTGTCTTTTTTATCCAAATTCCTGGCTTCTCTATGGCTAATTCTGGTTAACTAGTCACTGGCTCTACCCACTAATCAAGGTTAACTTTATTAACAGTTTCAGAGTATCATAGCACAATCAAATGTCCCTCAACAACTGCCTTCCATGAATGTCTTTAAAGAGATTTTAATCTATAATTTTTATTGACTAGCTCACATGGGAGATGGGCATGAGTGTTAGGCCATTTCAGGGACTTCATACTACTTTCTGTATTCTAACAGTTTTCATTCTATAGCTCAGGGAAAGAATGTGTTGTAGCTTATGTTTGTGAATTGGGTACATGGTCATCTGGGGCACAAGTATACTCTCAGAGAACTGTCCTCCTTTTAGTTGATGGGTCATGAGTCTGAGAAGTGCATTCAGATGGAAATTGAAGGAGAAATCATGGATTTCCATTGGTATAACTTATCTAAACACTTTCCTGATTCTTAAGTTCTTTCAGGATGCAGAATTACATGTTGGAGAACACCGTACAAGATCTAATGTATGCACTGAAAATTGTGTACCCATAAAAACAAACACTACTGATACAAATGGATGAATTGGTCCAGACATAATAGTGGAAGATTTCAATGCCACTTCTTCAATCTGTTGGTTTTCTAGACTCCTCTTCAAAATTTACCACAAAGCTTTAGTGCTGACCTAACAGACTGAACAGGAACCTAAGAATTATACATTATACATCCTACAAGTTCTCAGGACCCCGTGAAACTTTTTCCAAATCATATTTAAGACCATAAATCAATTATTAGCAAACATAAAAATTAAAACACATTCTTGTATGTTATCACATCAAAGTGGAATGAAATCAGCAGTGAAAGACATTACAAAAACATCACTTACATAGAGAGATTATATGATATATTTTTGAGTGATCAGTCATTGGATAAATCACTGAGGAAGCTATGAAATTCCTAAAGTTAAATACAAATGAAAACACAGCCTATCAGAACCTGTGGGCTAATGCAAAGGCAGTAAATATTAATGTTTCTAACCACAAGTACTTATAGTTAAAAACAAGAAATCTTTTTTTTTTTAAAACTTTCCACAAGACAGTTGGCCTCACAAAGACAATCACCACATTTCCCTCCATATGTGGAAAAACTGTATACATGAAAGTTGAAGAGGGACTTTAGGAAAGGGTGTAAGGATGATGGTAGAGATTGAGAGACAATCAAAATACATTATATACCTATATGGAACGTCATGATGAAATCCATTGTTTTCTTCCATTAATATGTGCTAATAAAATAAATATATGTGCATACACATATATACTGATACACATACATCTGTAGAGTCTACAGTAACAGATATTCCAAATTTTGGTGCTCATGTCTTATACTTAGGAATACCAGGTTCTCCTTCAAAATCCACATATTGCTGGGAGTTGTACTCTACTCCTGTCCCAGTTGCCATTCCTAACTGGTTACCCAACCCATAATTATACCCATATTAATTTTCAGAGCTAAATGGTTCTACCTAGATTCTTTTGTGAATTTATCATTCCCATTACTCCCATGGAGCCACATTCTGCAGCATTTACTTTCTGTAAAGATGAAGGTTTAGTGAATTGTCTCTACTCTGAATTTCTCCACAATGCTGATGACCCCTTAATTACCCCACCCCAATCGTCTTAGTAAAGAGAGCATCTTTGGGCCACTCAGAAACAAAATGAGTTTGTTGGATAACAGGCTACATGTCCCTTCCTTTGAAGGAACAACACTATGTTGAACATTCCAGATTCCCTTTATCTGTGAACATAAGGACCTTTGTGCTGCCTACAATCAAATACAACCAGGTATAGATAAGTAACATGGAAAGATTAAAAAAATAAAGTGAAATTGTTATTATTTCACAAATCGTTCTGAATATATGTATCATTTCATAACAGGCCCAACAATATTATTTAATATATATTCTAAAATATGTAAGTGAAGCTTGATTTTTTACTATAAAATAACATAGATAAATCAATAATAAAGTTCATTTTCTTTCTGTTAAAAATAGTTATTATCTCTATTTAGATAAAGATACTACCATAAAAAAAAAAGTCTAGAATGAAACCAACCTTTTGACAGTATACTTTAGCAACACATAGAATATATAGCAGGTATTTATAAAAGATAATGGACTGTGGGTTTACATACCTGATAAGTAAAGTCTGGTCTGCTTTCCATTCATTTAAATTACCTATTATCACCAAGCATCAGGTTACTTAAGTTTTCAATTGAAATTTGCTTCTGGATAACATTCGCCAATGTGAGTTGTGTCCATTCACATTTCCATCATTATGCTATCATAAAAAGACAAAAGGAAAGAAAATTAAATAACAGAAAAAAATATTCACCACTTTCTACTCAATGTGATAAGAGAGGTATTTATAAACTTTGGTAAAGATGATAAATATCAATTCTACTTAAATAGACTGTGGCTAGAACTTACCCAGGACATGGATTCATGAAGTTCCCACTTCTGAATTTCCTTGGCAATCGCTTAGTGTTCTGTCTACAGTAATTTTTCATTGTACTCCAAGCTAGAGCAGTTATTCTTACCCATGTGGGTCTGTTGGTGTTGCTAATAGAGTAGCTAATCACAGTAAAGAATATTTATCAAAGCTTAAACTTCATTGTCTGCAATTCTGGGTGACTTCTCTACTATTCACCTGGCATTAACTGAAATTTCATTATTTTGCAACCTATTTTCTTAATTGAAATCAACACAAATACATGTAATATGGATAATTAAAAGAGGTGGGTTTCAAACTTCAGTGGCCATTGGGAGAATCTGAGATGTTGAAAATCTTCTGAGCCTCATGCTCCACTCTACACCAATTAAATAAGAAACCAAGAATTGGCTAGTTTGCAACACTCTTCAGGGTGGCCTCACCACTGGTTCAGAGACTGGTATTATCTACCTATTGTTTATGAAAAGAATGTGCCTCATCTTTAGTGGTTACGAGAACTTGCTATGCTTGTAGAGGACTAGAGTTTGGTTCAAGGATCAGCCATGTCAGAGGACACACACTTGCCTTTAACTCCAGCTCTGATATCCTATACTGGGTTCTACAGATACTTAAATACATATGCATACATGCACACACATGTAGACCCACAATCTCCCTCAAATAAAAATAGATCATAAAGAAAACTGAGTAATCCTCCCACAAGAAGCCATAAAAAGAAATAGCTCTTTAAAATCTGTGATTTTTTTGGGGGGGGCATGGAGAAATGTCTTTCTTAATCTCCTTAAATTTATATGGAAGCCTCCATAATTAACAGAACCCCTTTCATTGATGCTTTTACTTGTCTCTGTATATCTTTTATTTAAATATTATCTGTATGTATGTAGTCTGTGTATGAGTATGAATACATCCAGCAAAAGTCTCAGTCTCTTAGACTATAAGAGATGTTTTCATAGAAATCACCACAACCCTGACTTAAGAATATAATGGGCCATACAAAATGAGAACAAAGTGAAAAGAACCAAGATGCAAAATGCCAGGTGACAGCTCTCTTCGAAGAAACTAAATCAGGAAAGACCTTTAGATGGTGGCTCAGCAGCAGTGGACGATGAACACACCAGGAAAAGGAAATCGTGTTTTTCATCCACCTTGATAAATTATCCAGGAAAAGAAACTTGCCTAATTTGATAATCACCTATTTGTTAATACAAACAATAACAAGGAAAGAATGCTGCATGTGAGGACAACAGCCCCTCAGCAGGGTATAAAAGGGGATGTGGGCAGGGAGACTCCCACTTCCAAAACTTCCAACCCACCTCCTTGTAAACCCATCCAGAACCTCCACCTCTCATACCATGGTCAACTCCTGTTGTGGCTCTGTCTGCTCTGAGGAGGGCTGTGGCCAAGGCTGCTGCCAGCCCAGCTGCTGCCAGACTACCTGCTGCCGCCCCAGCTGCTGCCGCCCCAGCTGCTGTGTGTCCAGCTGTTGCAGACCCAGCTGCTGCCAGTCTGTGTGCTGCCAGCCCACCTGCTGCGGCCCCAGCTGCTGCCGCCCCAGCTGCTGTGTGTCCAGCTGTTGCAGACCCAGCTGCTGCCAGTCTGTGTGCTGCCAGCCCACCTGCTGCCGCCCCAGCTGCTGCATTTCTAGCTGCTGCCGCCCCAGCTGCTGTGTGTCCAGCTGTTGCAGACCCAGCTGCTGCCGTCCCAGTTGCTGCATTTCTAGCTGCTGCAGGCCTTCCTGTTGCCGCCCCTGCTGTAGCAGTTCCAGCTGTTGTGGATCTAGCTGCTGCCGCCCCAGCTGCTGCATCTCCAGCTGCTGCAGGCCTTCCTGTTGCCGCCCTAGCTGCTGTGTGTCCAGCTGCTGCAGACCCTCTTGCTGCATCTCCAGCAGCTGCCGCCCCTGCTGTGGCAGTTCCAGCTGTTGTGGATCCAGCTGCTGCCGCCCCACCTGCTGCATTTCTAGCTGCTGCCGCCCCAGTTGTTGCCAGACCACCTGCTGCTGCCCAGCATGCTCTAGTGGTTCCTGCTGCTGAGCCCTCTCACACACAGCCTCCTCTTCTTCACCACACGTGACTCCTGATGGAGTCCATCTGTGTGTCGAGTTCCAAGATGCCCATTGCAAAGCCTCTGATGCAATCGAGATTGATTGGGACACCAAATATATTGTCCCACTCCTGCCTGTTTCTGTCTAAAATGAACACACATTTGAACTGTCTTTGAACTCTGTAAAAGCTTGTAATAATTTGTTCTTTGCTATATTTTTGAAAAATCAAGTTTCCTACTTCTTAAATAAATTGAAAAATTGAAGGTACATAAATAAAATGTCATGTGTCTCCTTATTTTTCTTGCAGAAATTGCCCCCAATTGTCTCTTAATGCCTTGGTAAACTGAGAGTTTACTGGATCACACAGGGAGCAGTCATTCAACTGAGTTTTCAAACCTCATGACTAAGAATACCCTGGTGTAGCTACTTCTTCTCATCTTTTGATTCTTTCTTGCCCCTTTATGGGTAATAAGAGACCAAATGAGTCTAGAATAGCATTCCCTGGAACACACAGCTAGAACAGCACGCATTTATTGTCTGTTCCTGTGGATCAGGAATCAGATACAGACAGGCTTCATTGTCTGTGTCCTCATGTGTCAAGTCAGCTGGCACTGGGATCTCATGTTAGGGACAGCCTGGACAAGCCCACTTCCAAGTTCATTTCCACGGTTGCTGAGAACATTTGCATCCTTGGTAGCATTGGGGTGGGAACCTCAGAACTCTCACACAACACCTGGGTGTAGTGAGATAGTTCTGTGGCACTGACCACGCCCATTGGGGGGTGGAGCCATGAGCGGAGTGACCTGTGGAAGGAGGTCGGAAGGGAGCCAGGAAAGACTCTCTTTCTGGCGTGACTCGGACAGGAGAGGATCGGGTTGAATTTCCTGGTGTTCATCTGTCTAGGTTGTAAGTTATTTCTCCCTGAATAAACATCTATTCGGCCTATTTGTTTATCCTGATCCTTATTTACCGTGATACCTGGGTTCATCAAAGCCAGTGCCAAAGGAGGATTGGTCACCAAGAGGAAAGCTACAGTCTTTTGTTACTTCACCCTTGAATGTTGCTATGTGCTGCTGGTTAGAAGTAAATGGCTCACACAAAAAGGATTCACACACACTCCGTGAAATATCAAGCAGAAAGAACTGAGGGGCAGAGAGAATTAGGGTAACAGTAGGGGAACCCTGTCCTCAAGCAGAATATAATACTAAGCAAAAGAAAAAAAAAATAAAAAGAGTACAAATAGCGATAATCTATGTAGCATTCACAAAATTTCTATAAAACTAGACCACACTGTTTACAGATACCTATTGGAGGGTTAATGTTGTCAAGAAAAGCAAAATGAAGACCACCTACAATCCTGAGGTGTGATTCTTTGGGTTTGTGTGGGTAGAGATAGATACAGCCATTCTTGGAGATAAAATGTGTCTTTGACTTGGCCGTAGGCTACACTATCTGAGGAGCCATTGTGATATAAATGTACACATATATTTCTAGTATCTGCATGTTTTCCTAATAACAAAGATTATTTTCAAACAGGTGAACTGAGATGCATAGCTAGATTTAAACAGCAAGACTAGATTAAACAATGAACATATTTTAAGAGCAAAGAGGAGTCAATCAATGGTTGGAGCAACATTTCCATTATTTCTAATACATAGATCACTCTCAAGACTGATAATACTGTTTAATATATATTCGTTTATGTAGTTAATACATTCATTCATTTAATATATGTTCATTCACTTATACATCATTCATGCAATACATATTCATTAGTGCTTAATGGAGTTTCATTTTTAATTATAAGGAAGTTAATTGTATAGGAAATATGTGACTTTTCGCTTAACACACTTATTGTGTTCTCTGTATAAATCATGAGGTTGTAAGTTGGACACTGTTACTCGCCTCATTACCCATTTTAGCTACAGACAAGATACACAAGGAATTTGTATATACTAACATGATACTTGACAAGACACAATCGCAAGCCTGTGCCAGGTTTCTGAATGATATTGCCTAGCTCCTGGATGCCTTTTGCAAATAGTTGTCTTCACTCCATTCTAGCTGCACCGATGGTGTTTAACTGACTCCTTTCATTTTGATATTTTAAAAAGATGAAAAGAACAGTTTAAAGAGGGAGAAATTTCTTAAGAGACATTAAACCCCACCTATACAGTGCAAGTACAGCCTAGGTAGGTCACATGGCTCTGGTGCATTGAAGTGTCATCAATTGTCTGTTGTTTGTTTGTATTGCACTGGTACCCATCTCCCATTCCAGACTACCAGAAACATTTAGGGAGGGATATGTAGACTGATGCGTCTCAGTGTGGGGTTTCCTCTTTAATAACCCAGTGTGCCATCTGTAGTGACTTCTCATTGGACTTCAGTCCCATTCTCTGTGCTGTGGATCTCATAGTTTACAGTACTTACAGCTCAATGTTTCCAATTCAGGGAAATTTGCTCTGTGATTTAGATGGCACAGAGTGAAAGCAACTGATTTTACAAGCTCTCTTCTGAATGCAAATAGCCATACACCATGGAAGTTTTAAGGAGAGGGATTTCAAGCTTTGTTGCTTCCCAGGATAAACCGTGGAATTTTATAAACCTTTGACACACAAGATCTACTGCAGACCTATTAAGTGAACAATTATTTTGGGGAAGTGTAAGCAAAAGAAAATTTTGAAATTTTCAAAATACTTCAATCATGCCTCCTACTAGCTGATTGTTTTACAGGGGTATGTTCTCTGTTCTAGCTGTAGGAAAGAGGACTTGACTTAACTCTCATACACAGTTTTCAGTGTTGGGCTTGACCACAGGCTCTTGCACATGCTGGAAGGTGTTCTACAACTGGGCTATAGCTCTAGCTCCAGAGAGCTTCCTTTATGTCCCTAAATCTGCAGAGAAACCTCCCTTCTAATAATCAATTATGTCATTATCTTTTTATGCTGTTTCTATAATGTAGCAAATCTAGCAAGCATTTGACTACTGCAATGGACACATACATGTTTCAGACTTTCACATTCTTCAGCACTACAGAGAAAAGCCTAAAGTAAAAGCACAAAAAAGAAAAGTTAGCTTAGCAAGCCAAGGAGATGAAAGTCTTGATGGGGGGGGTGTCTTTAAATTATTCTAAGGATGATATCACCTTCTTCAGCCAAAGAGAACAACAGGAGGCAGTATACTTCCTTATCAGAAACTAACCACCTAGCCAATGGGATGGGGATTGTGCACCCCCGAAGTCTTTACCCTGATCACAGTATAGACAGATGCAAGCTGAAATCCTCCAATCTAAATACCTGCTTCCTATCAATTTCTTGTTATATTATTATTAAAGGAAAACCTGAATGGAGCAGACCAGTCCACCACTCAAATCATGGAGCAGAGGTGTCTACAGGGTCCAGAGTCTCAACAGACACAGCAAAGTTGTGTAGAGGCTAGACTAATGGCTCTCAACCTTCCTAATGAGGACCCTTTAATACAGTTCTTCATGTTGTGGTGACCACCAACCACAAAATTACTTTCGTTGCTACTTCATAACTGTAATCTTGCTATTGTTATGAGTTGTAGTGTAAATATATGTGTTTTCTAATAGTCTTAGGTGACCCTGTGAAAGGTGACCTCCAAAGGCGTCACGACTCATAGGTTGAGAACCGCTAAGATAAAGTAAGAAGCAATGACATGCTTGCTGTGCAGTAGAAGTTTGGATGTCTTGAAACAGAAACAATGTTGCTGGCAGGATCCTGTTAAAGCCAGAGACAAGAGGGCAAAGGAATAAGATCAAGGGGAACGAATGTAAGGACCCTTGCATCTTATACAGCTCTGCAGCCAAAACTCTCAGAAGTGATATTAAAATTAGTTTTGTTTTAGGCAGAGAGAGAGAGAGAGAGAGAGAGAGAGAGAGAGAGAGAGAGAGAGAGAGAGAGAGAGAGAGAGAATAACTCAACATTTTACCATCCAGCTTACCTCCTGGAGATTATTCCATTTCCAGGTTTAAAAGATCTAGAAACTGGATCACAGTCTATATGGAGAGGTGTCTGGGGTCTAACCTTGTCCCATATGAGCCATTGTGATGGGCCATCAAAAGAGTGCAGCTTTGTCCTCCTTGGTCATTAGAAAAGATCTATAAGAATAATAATTACTGAGTAGACAGTTTCATGATATACATGAGACTGAAGGACAGAGTAACAAGATACCCAGTGTCTTGTGAAAATTCTTCTAGAAGCAATTAAAATCCATAAGACACTTCACAGGTGGTTCATGGAGAACTGACAATGAACCCTAACACACCAGGAAAGGAAACTGTTTTTTATTTGCCTTGATAATTGACCCAGGAAAAGAAACTTGCCTAATTAGATAATCACCTATTTATTAACACAAGCAATAACAAGGAAAGAATGCTGCATGTGAGGACAACAGCCCCTCAGCAGGGTATAAAAGGGGATGCGGGCAGGGAGACTCCCACTTCCAAACCTTCCAACCCACCTCCTTGTAAACCCGCCCAGAACCTCTACCTCTCACACCATGGTCAACTCCTGTTGTGGCTCTGTCTGCTCTGAGGAGGGCTGTGGCCAAGGCTGCTGCCAGCCCAGCTGCTGCCGACCCAGCTGCTGCATGTCCAGCTGCTGCAGGCCCTCTTGCTGCATTTCTAGCTGTTGCAGGCCTTCCTGCTGCCGCCCCAGCTGCTGTGTGTCTAGCTGCTGCAGACCCCAATGCTGCCGCCCCAGCTGCTGCATCTCCAGCTGCTGCCGCCCCTGCTGTAGCAGTTCCAGCTGCTGTGGATCCAGCTGCTGCCGCCCCACCTGCTGCATTTCCAGCTGCTGCAGGCCTTCCTGCTGCCGCCCCAGCTGCTGTGTGTCCAGCTGCTGCAGACCCCAGTGCTGCATCTCCAGCTGCTGCCGCCCCTGCTGTAGCAGTTCCAGCTGCTGTGGATCCAGCTGCTGCCGCCCCACCTGCTGCATTTCCAGCTGCTGCAGGCCTTCCTGCTGCCGCCCCAGCTGCTGTGTGTCCAGCTGCTGCAGGCCCTCTTGCTGCATTTCTAGCTGCTGCAGGCCTTCCTGCTGCCGCCCCAGCTGCTGCAGACCCCAGTGCTGCATCTCCAGCTGCTGCCGCCCCATCTGTTGTCAGACTACCTGCTGCCGCCCAGCATGCTCTAGTGGTTCCTGCTGCTGAGTCCTCTCATCCAGTCTCCTAGTCTTCATTATCCAGCATTATAGTTGTAGCCCATGTGTGAGCTGAATCCCCAGAGGCTCATTGTAAAGCCTGTGTTTTCACATACTATGGTTTTTTACTTTCCAGATACTGTACCTGTGTTTCTGTCAAATGAACAAAAGTTTAATTTTTCTATGAAATCTGTAAACTTATCCTTATGTTTTTCCTCTTCTCCATGTCCAAAAAATAGCTTCCTCCTCTGCATTAAATAAATCTTAGTTTTGCAAGCACACCAGTGTACATATGTCTCCTCTTTCCTTCTTGAATTGTCATCCTCGTTTGCCAATATTTTAGCTCATCTCTAACAATGCTATGATCACAGCAGATGATTTCAGGCGTGCCTGCTGTAATTCCCACGTATTCATCTTTCTGTATAGGAAGAAGAGCTCATTTGGCAAGCACACACATCGCCATGATTGCTTCTAATTGAAGAGTGGTCTGAGCCCAGAGCTCAAGCAAGGAAATACAGTGTGATTGCATGTTCTCCTCCACTTCCTTTGAAGAGGAAGTGTGTCATTGTGGTGTTACTGAGGCCCTGGGTGTCACGAGACATAGTTGTCTCCTGTGATGCTCTGATCATTTGGTGTCCATTGGCTTCTTCTTTGCTTGGTATGATCTTTCAAGTTCAAATGCTTCCTGAGACAACTGCCCAAGTAACTACTTCATGTCCACCACTCCTCTCTACCATATCTGAGACAGCCCAGTGAAGCAACTCAAGAATCCCATATCCCTATTCATGTGTCACCTGGCACCCACATAGAGGCAACATGAATGACCGTGCAGTGTCAGAGCCTAATCTCAGGATTACTGTTTACTGTACTGATCTACTTCATGAACACATAGCTATATCTTTAGTCCAGTATTTGAGCAATTGTGATATACTAGTCCTCTTCAGTCTCCTATGTTCTCTCCTGCAAATAACTGGATTTCATTCTTCCTGGTGGGTGAAGATATGCCACATTTTCATCACCAATTCATCTGTAGATACACAGAGCTGATTTTAGGACTTGACTATTGTAAATAGTAACTCCATAAACAGGGGTGTGTTGACATCTATAGTGTATATTGCTTTAAATGCCTTTCTCTACACATCCAGGGATGAACTGATTTCCAGTTGTACCACTTTGCACTTGCAGTGTATATGATGCCCACTCTTTTGCATCCACAGTACTATTTCTTTTTGTTTTCACAATGGTAGATATTTTTTCTAGGGTGTGATGGGGAATGTACTTCTGTATATATGTTTGTCCTATTGGTTGATGAATAAAACACTGATTGGCCAGGCAGGAAGTGATGTAGCATGGCAGATATTGCCACTAGCTAACCGTAGAGGTCTGGAGGTCTATACAGACAGGCAGCAAGTGACATAGCTGGGCAAAATCAGAATATAAGTAGGGACAAACAGGAAATCTCTCTCTTCTCTGCAGAGATGTAGCAGGCAAAGGGGATGCAGGTTCAGCATTCCTGGTAAGCCAAGACCATGTGGAAATACTTAGATTGATAGAAATGGGTTAATATTTAAGACAGAGCTAGCCAATAAGAAATGATAGTAACAGGCCAACAGCTTTATAACTAATACAATATCTCTGTTTGTTATTTTGGGACTGACGTGGCTCTGGGACCAGGCTGGTGGGAAACTGCCTTTAACAAGGCAGTATGATTTATAGTCCCCTGATGGTTAAAAATATTCAGCCATTGTCCATGCATTTAGTGGTCATTTATAATGTTCTCTTTGGAAGCATCTGTTTTTGTCATTTACCCATTTATTGACTGGATGTTTTGGTGTTTAAATTTTTAGGTCTTGGAGCTAGAGAGATGGCTCAATGTTTAAGAGCACTGGTTGTTCTTCCAGAAGACCTGGATTTGATCTCAGTACTTACATGGAAACTTACAACTGTCTGTAACTCTAGGGGATTCAATGCCCTCATGAAGGCATACATGCAAGCAAAACAACAATTTATAATGTGACAGATTGAATGTAATTGGCCCTCCGTAATATAGGGAGTGGCACTATTAGGAGGTATGGCTTTGTTGGAGTGGGTTTTGGATATGGCCTTTTGGAGGAAGTGTGCCATTATGAGGGTAGGCTTTGAGGTTCCCTATGCTCAGAAATTGCTCCCCCCAATGTCTCAGTTGACTTCCTGTTGCCTGCAAGTCAATATGTATCCAGTATCATGTCTGTTTGCATGCTCCCATGATGATAGTGAACAGAACTTCTGAAACTCTAAGCAAGACACTCCAACTTTATAAGAATTGCTGTGGTCATGGTGTCTCATCACTGCAATAAAAACCCTATGACAGAAGTGGGTACCAGTGAGTGGGGTGTTGCTGTGATGGGCCTAACCATGATTTTGCTTGGAGTATTATGGACTTTGGGAGCTTGAGTTAGGAAAGCAGTAGGATGATTTAAGTGCAGCTTAATGAGCTGTACCAGTAGGGACATGGAAGACAGTGATGCTGAATATGATTTGACAAACTGTGGGAGTCAAGAGATGCCAGAGTTACAGGATACCTGCCCAGGAAAGCTGTTAACAGGGAGTGGAACCCGTCCAAGAGAAAGAAGTGTGTTGCAGACAAGAAAGCTGAATGGAATAGGTGTTCTGAAGAGTGCTTTGACATCAGACATGGAGACACAGAGTTTGAAGTTTTCCCAGCTAGTTTTAGACACATTAAGGTCTTTGACTCATGTGAATAAACTTTTATTTAATCATTTTTTGAGAATTTCATGTATGTGTACTGTATTTGCACCGTTTCTACCCCTCCCGTTTCTCCCAAATCCTCGTATGCCACCAACTCCTTCTCAAGTTCAGAAACTCCTCTGTAATTATCACTGTTTTACACACACACACACACACACACACACACAGAGGAGAGAGAGAGAGAGAGATACACAGACAGACAGACAGACAGACAGACAGTGCCAATTGAACCCAGTCAATGTTGTTTTTATGTACTTGTGTTTAGGGACTTGCTTTTTTATTTTTTTAGGAAGACAGGTAGGGATCAAATTTCAGTTTTTATTTATTTACTTTTTTAGTTATAAAGCTGTTAGCCAGTTATTAACGTTTCTGTCTTATTGGCCTGCTCTGTCTTAAACATTAACCCATTCCTACCAATCTAAGCGTTTCTACGTGGTCTTATCTTATAGGAGAGAGGGTCCAGACATCTTACTTCTCCCACATCCTATATCTTTACTTCTCCTACTACATCTCCCAGAATTCTCCTTGTCTCCTAGTCCCGCCTATCTGGTTTTTCTATTTGCTAACAGCGCTTTATTCATTAACCAATAAGAGAAACATGTTTACAGAATGACATCTCCCATCATCTCCTCTTTTCTGTTTAAAATAAAGAGAAGGGCTTTAACTTTAACATAGTAAAATTACATATGACAAAACATTTATCAAATAAGAACTATAGTTAACAATATTTAACCCATTAACATTATTAGGAATTAAAGAAAATATTCTATCATCTATCTTTGTGAGACTAAAGTCTTACATTAACTTATCTTTAATCCTAAGGAAAACTATAACTATAAACATAATTGCCTGTCTTCAACTCCATCAAAGACCACAGAAGGATAATATAAACTCTAGAATTGACAGAGACATTTGCTACCCAGACAGTCACCTGAAGTTCTTCTGTAATGTGGGGGCCTCCATCTTCAGCCCATAGGTCATAGTGTGTCTGGGGAATTTTAAACTGTCCACCTGTATTGGCAGTTTGTCAGTCATTTTTCTCTGTGTCCTGTAGAATGTCTGGCAGACTCCTCCACGAAACAGGAACACTTCAGGACTGTCCATCTTGTTTTGTGAGTTCAGCAGTCACTTTCCTGTGGGTCCTGCATGTCTAGTTTATAGATCAACAGTCAAACAGTCTAGGCAAGATTTGCATCCACTCGTTAGCAGTTTCTTGCCCAAATGGCTAGTCTTGTTATATCAAAAGCATACTCCATAACAAGTTTCTTCAATGCCCATCTTCCTCTCAGATGTAATTGATTTTTCCAGGAGTAGTTGTGTCTCACAGTCATGAAAAACCTTAAACCATTTTAAATGCCGTTTTCTGAAGGTCTTTGAAAGTTTTGAAGATTATCTATCCATCTCAAATATATCTCTGTATACCTAAAAATCCTAACTAACATAAGTTTTGGCTATTATAGGTGATTATATACAATCTTTATTTAATTATGCATTACATTTTAACAGATCTATATAAACAAAATACCTAAACAAGAGGAGAAATTTACATATTAAATTTGTATCAATAAATTAAAATCCATTCCAAAACAAAGTATTCATTTTTATACCATTATCTCCTTTTTACCTTTAAAAAGAGATTGGTTGTGATCATTAACCATTTATAACCAACCCCATATAAATGAAAACAAACATTTCTAGATAATATTTGGGAATTTGGGCGATGTTCTTTCCAAACTGTTTCTTGTTGTTAAGGGGTGCTGTATTTGTGATCCTAAGAAGATCCAGAAATCCTGGCTGTAGTGATCTGCAAGCCTGCCTTTTCCAAGCTGTTTTGAATGTTCTATCATCTGTGACACTGCTTCAGGGATTCTTGATTGATCAAACTATGTTAGTCTGGAAGGAATCCACAGCTTTTCATTTTCTGTAGAAACAAAAGTAGAAATTCTTCACCCCAGTAACCTGTCCTTAGACTTAAATTTTGAAGTCAAATCATTTTTAAAATATTTAAGTTGGATTAATTTAGCAGCATTGATAATCAAGTGTGTTTTAGCTGTTGTTCCTTCCTTAGCAATTGAGCAATTCAAAGACAACACAATAGCATACATATCTAGACTCTTTGTGTGTTTTTCATCTTTAGATGTCTTTTTCATTACTTTATTTTTTTATTTCTGTTTTTTCATTTTCTGAGACAGGATTTCTCTGTGAACTTTTGTCTGTCCTGAAATGCACTCTGTACATCAGGTTCACTTTGGAATCACAGAGCTTTGCTTGCCTCTGCCTCCTGAATGCTGGGATTAAAGGTGTGTGCCACCATACCCAGTTACTCTCTTCCTTCCTTCCTTTCTTCTTCTTCTTTTTAAAACCAGTTTACCCTGTTTCTTTTTCTCTCCCAAGCCTATGTATATTTTTAAACATATACATAGGCTTTGTAAAGCTTTGAAGATTTTTCTTTATCTGAATCTGTATTTATTGTAAATCTTTATCTTTTTCTAGTCAGGAGTCTTTTATTTGTTAAAGAACAACATTGTTAAAATTAAAGCTGCTGCTATTTTAGCTGCCATCTATCCAAGATGGTGGGGGTTCATTCACAGCCAGCATTGAAGCTGTGCTCACTGCCTTTGTCTATGCTGCCATCAAGCAGCATGCTGCCAGCTTGGAGATGTGGTCACTACCATTGCCAGCTGCTCGTACACAAAATTATTGTTTGGTAGCAGGGCCTCTTAAAAGAGACCCGAGGGTTTTTGCTGCTTATATCAAGTCAAGAAGACTCCCTTAAAGGAGCCGAGCAAGTGTGTTTGTCTCTAGTAAAATGGAGCCCACCCAAGAAAAATGTTGTTATGAAGAAGTGTTTTTGTTCTTGTGTTTCTTAAAACCAGTTTTAAGATTTTGTCAAGTTTTAAGTGGAAGTTCTTAGTACCCACATTGCAGGTGCCATTTTATTACGTGCAGTTTCCCACTAGCCTGGTCCCAGAGCCGCGTCAGCCCCAAATAACACCCAGAGACTCTATTAGTTATAAAGCTGTTAGCCCGTTACTAGTGACTAGGCTGGGCAAGGTATCTCTCCATATAGAATGGTCTCCACTAAGTCAGTTTGTGCATCAGTGTTAGATCATGGACCCACTGCTAGTGGCCTCATTTATTGTCCCAGTCACACCATTGTCACCTACATTAAGGGAGTCTAGTTCGGTCTTATGCAGGTTCCACCAGAAAGGGCATTCGTAATCTTCTTAAATAGAAGTAGAAATTTTCTTACTGGTAACCACAGTCTTAATCCAATACCTTTATTTCCAACTTGGTCCCTCTTCTAACAGTGAATCAGCCACAACAAGCCTCTGACGTATATCATTGTTTAAGCTACATATTATCTAATTCATAACTACAAGCCAATGAAAATACAAGTAACTCAAATGTTTGCTAAGCAAGTAAGTATGATAAAAGTCTTGCAATGTGGTTGGTCATTAAATGCTCCTAATTAAGACATTTAATGATGTCATCACACAGCTTCAGCAAGTCTCTGCATATTTCTTTCTACACCAGCAGACCATGAATAATAAACTGGTAGCATCCCTCATTTTCAAGAAACCTTAATCACCTGGCCACTTGGGAGGGATTTTTGCACCCTTTAAGCCACTAATATGTCCCCACTATAAATAAATATAAGCTGATATCCTTTCATGTAGATATCTGCATTTAAAAAGTACTCATTCTTTTTATGTTCTTTCAAAGGAGGACTTTAAGGGTGAAGCCTAATTCACTTAACCTTGTAGAGACACAGGTGAGGCATCTACAGACAGAGAAAGTCTGGGGCCAAGGAGAACAACAGGCAGAAAGTTGTTCATCTAACTGAAGTCCTGAAGGACAACTGAGAAAATCAAGAGCCTGGGTCAGAGATTCCTATTAAAGCAAGAAGTGCGGGCTACTAGAGACAGACGGGAAAAGAAGCCCACACGGTAGAATAAAGACACCTAGATTTTGAGGTAGATCTGAGCTGAAGCCCGTTCCCCCTAACAGGTAATAAACTGTTAGAGTTTTATTTATGAAAAAAAATCATTCAACTTTCTACCTAAGATTGTTCTGTGCTTCTCGTTGAAAAACAATCTAGGAAGTAAACCATGATCCACATGGGGCAGGAGATATGGCTTACTAGGCTTCCTATTTTCATACCATTAGGATTTATTTTGTGGTTAAACATTCTGGGCCAACATGACCTATTATGGATGAGCCATTGGCATAAAAATGTTTTATCCTCCTGGGTCACCAGAAACAAATATGGGTCTGTAATACCTATGATTATCTAAGGGTGGGCAACAGAGCCATCCACTATGAGACTAAACCATACAGTGCCTAGAAACACAATGTCATGTGACAATTGTTTGGAAGAAACTAAAGCAGAAAAGATACTTGGGAAATGGTTCAGCAAGAGCTGATGATGAATCTTAACACCAGGAAAAGAAGCTGTATTTTTCCATCTACCTTGATAATTTAGCTAGGAGAAGAAACGTGTCTAATTTGATAATCGCCTGTTTATTAACACAAACAATAACAAGGAAAGAATGCTGCATGTGAGGACAACAGCCCCTCAGCAGGGTATAAAAGGGGATGCGGGCAGGGAGACTCCCACTTCCAAACCTTCCAACCCACCTCCTTGTAAACCCGCCCAGAACCTCCACCTCTCACACCATGGTCAACTCCTGTTGTGGCTCTGTCTGCTCTGAGGAGGGCTGTGGCCAAGGCTGCTGCCAGCCCAGCTGCTGCCGCCCCAGCTGCTGCGTGTCCAGCTGCTGTAGACCCAGCTGCTGCCAGTCTGTGTGCTGCCAGCCCACCTGCTGCCGCCCCAGCTGCTGCATTTCTAGCTGCTGCCGCCCCAGCTGCTGTGTGTCCAGCTGTTGCAGGCCCTCTTGCTGCATCTCCAGTTGCTGCAGGCCTCCCTGCTGCCGCCCCACCTGCTGCATTTCCAGCTGCTGCAGGCCTTCCTGTTGCCGCCCCAGCTGCTGCCGCCCCAGCTGCTGCATCTCCAGCTGCTGCCGCCCCTGCTGTAGCAGTTCCAGCTGCTGTGGATCCAGTTGCTGCCGCCCCAGCTGCTGCAGGCCTTCCTGCTGTAGCAGTTCCAGCTGCTGTGGATCCAGCTGCTGCCGCCCCACCTGCTGCATTTCTAGCTGCTGCAGACCTTCTTGCTGCCGCCCTAGCTGCTGCATTTCTAGCTGCTGCAGGCCTTCCTGCTGCCGCCCCAGCTGCTGTAGACCCCAGTGCTGCATCTCCAGCTGCTGCCGCCCCAGCTGCTGCATTTCTAGCTGCTGCAGGCCTTCTTGCTGCCGCCCCAGCTGCTGTGTGTCCAGCTGCTGCAGACCCCAGTGTTGCATCTCCAGCTGCTGCCGCCCCATCTGTTGCCAGACCACCTGCTGCCGCCCAGCATGCTCTAGTGGTTCCTGCTGCTGAGTCCTCTCATCCACAGCCTCCAGCTCTTCAAGGCCCAGCATTCCTGATGTAGCCCTCCTGTGAGCTGATCCTGAGGAGCCCATTGTAAAGCCTCTGTTCCATCAGATAATGACTTTGGTCTCCAATGTAATGTTCGTACTCCTGCCTGTTTATTATCTTTCTCTAAAGCGACCACAAATTTATGTTTTTTTTTTTTTCTGAAATCTGTAAAGTTTGACCTTATACACATGGAAAAAAATTGTTCTTTGCCACATTTTTAAAAATAGAGACTCTCTCACATCTTAAATAAATCTGGATTTTGCAAGCATACAATGTGTATCATGTCTACTCATTTCTCCTCTGGGGTTCTTTTCCACATCTATCAATTCTGAAGTACAAAGATTTCTATGTTCAAAGGCAGCTCATGCCAGCTCCCTCCCCGTGGCATTCCTCATCCTCCAATACAGAAAGATACCTTGTGGAGCAATATGGACCTCTGTGCTGAGAATTTTCTCTGGCTGAAGAAGTAGCAGTAGCTGGGAGAGTTAAAACCCCTAGGCACAGAGTACAGGCAGTGAGAGGGGTTGGGTAGCACAAGCTCTTGCTCACTCAGTCAAGCAAATGCTCATCACATAGCATTCCCTGGAGCTTCAGTGGTTGGGAGCCCTGCTGCTTCTGGAGATGTTCTGATCACATGATTTGTGCTGACATACATCATTCCCTGAGTTTACTTCAATGCTTCCTCGGGTCACTTTCCTGTTAAACAACTTTGTCTGAAATCTCTGTATAAAGGCAGGTCACAGAGGACAAGCAATCCTGCTTCTAACCCAGTACCACCTCCTGCAAAAGGCTAATATAATGCAGAGTTTCATGGTGTCAGCATCAAGCCTCGAATGTTGGTTCACTGTACTGTAGATCTTCTGAACACGTTGCTTATTTATTGATTATATTATTTTTCATTTCTTTTTAATATTTTTAGTGTTTAAATATATTCTGTGTATTAATTTTATGGGCAATGAATAGCTGGTAAAGATTTTTTTTTTCAGCCTTTCTCTCCATTCCATTGTTTTGTTTTTTGTGTTTTGGGGTTGCTTTGTTTTTTGAGACAGGGTTTCTCCATAGCTCTGGAGCTCATCCTGGAACTCACTCTGTAGACCAGGGGCTTGTCTCAAACTCACAGAGATTCATTCATCTGTCTCTGAGTGGTGGGATTAAAGGCGTGTGCCACCACTGTCCAGCCTGTTGTTTCTTTCTAATGAGATTCAGTTTGTCAGTTCTTACTATCATCTTAAATGTTCTTCTTATATTTTTCCTTTTGTGGTTTCAACTTTTCAAATTTTGAGTTAAAGCATTTTATCCATTTTGAATGAGCATTTGACTAGGAGATGAGCAAGGGAAGCATTTTTGTTCTCTATGTGAGTATTCTGCTTTCCTAACACAAGATGCGAAAGGTGTCCTTCCCCAAAATGCATTCATAGCAACTTTATTAAAACTTGAAAGGTTGTAGTGTGTGGATTTATTTCTGGATCTGCTGTCATGTTCCATAGATCTGCACACTCATCTATTCTTGTGCTTGTACTGTCCTGTTACTGTTACCACACCTCTATACGGTACTTAGAGGCTGTGTGTGATCCTCCAACAACTAGTTCAACCAGACAGAAACCAGTAAATCAATTCCATTAACAAAATCCCAGTATTTCCCCCTCCAGATAAAGAACCAAATCCCACCTAAAATTCTATGCATTTCCTTAAAATTCAATGAAATGTTCCTTGGAAGTTTGTGAAAACAACCCTCAAATTTTAAAGAAAGAAATGATGGAAGAAAGAAAGAGAGGAAGGCAGGAAGGGAGAGAGAGAGAGAATGAAAGAAAGAAAGGAAGAAAGAAAGAAATATCAGGAATAGACAAATTGGTCTTGAGTGGAAAACATATTTTCGCTTTTTTTTTTTTTTTTTTTTTTTTGCTTTTTTTAATCTAGTCTACTATCAATACTTTCTTATCTATATCGAGTGTTGGGAGAAATACCACAGATACTATATATCTGTATCAAGGAAGTTCGTTTCTAAGCTTTCAGGAGACAACAAACACTGATTCAATGTAAGTAAGTTAATGGCTTGGGCTACAGGATGTTGTATGTAAACATTTACAACTTCAGCTAACAAACTATAATAAAGTCATATTAATTGGGTAGCACTCAGACTTTCAAGGGGGGGTTGTGCTAAGAGCCTAAAGCCAAGAGCCTGAAGCAGGAACTTTGTTTTAACTGAAAACAGTTAATTTTTTTCCATACAATATATTCTGATAACAGTTTCTCCTTCCCCAACTCCCCACCCATCAAAATCCACACCCTTTCTTTCTAACTCCTATTAGAGTACAAACAGGCATTTAAAAACAATATAGGTAAAATAAAAAGCAAACAAACTGGACTAGAATGGCGCAAACATACAAACAAGAGAAAAACAGCCATAGAAAAAGCACAAGAAACATATGTAGATGGAGACACACACATTTGAACACACAAAAATCCCATGGAAACACATCTCTGTAAACCATATTATATATGCAAAATACAGAAGAACAGAAAGAAAGAAAGAAATGAAACTATCACCCAGATGAAGCATTATGAGGCAAGGAACCTCCAAAAATGTATTGACTTTGTTTTGTGCTGGCCATCTACTTCTAGGCACAGGACCTGCACTTGGGAGTGGTTTGTTTACCCAATGAACCCCATATTCAGTTATGTGACCCCACATGTCAAACTCAGAGTTTAGGAAACTGATCTGTGTGAAACAGAAAAGGAATAGGCAGAGAGCTGTCACATAGTCTGCATATCTAGTCCAATGTTAATTATCCATTTTGTATCATAGAAGGTAAATTTTTAGCAAAAAATGTATAGTAATGTATTGTCTGTTTGGTGATTTCTTCTTTTTAAATGAATCCAGTCATTGGACACTATTCCATGCTGGTCTGTTCTGGTTAATATGGGTCTGTGTTGTGACTGGTATAAGACTGCCCTATGATAATAGATAGACTTAGCATTATTTCATTCTATAGTGTTTAACTTACTGCTGAATATTACAAGAGACACAAATGCAGGTAATGTGGGCACCAAGTGAGGGACTTAAGTCTCATGGCTCACTGAGATCATCTGTGGACTTCTACAAATTGCTGATGCTCAGACCAGTTAGAAGAAGACTATCCAGAGCATGGACCAGGAGTTGACAGTTTGTAATGCTTCGTGGGTTGTTCTCCTGTGAAGCCAGTCACGATAGCCACTGGCTTAGAGAATGTACTCTGACTATTTAAGATGGGAAAGGGGGTAATTTTATTTATTTTATGCTGTGGCTTTGAGCCCAGTACCCCATGCGGTGCTGCTCAGTGAGTCTTATACCAAAAGGCCTTTCTTTTTTTTTCTTTATAATTTTTATTATTTTACATATCAATCCCCTCTCATCCTCTCATCCTCTCATGCTCCCACCAACACCTATCCACTCCCCAGGGAGAGTGAGGCTTTCCATGGGTGATCATCCAAGTCTATCACATCATTTGGGCAGGGCCTAGGCCCTCCCCCTGTGTATCTAGGCTAAGAGAGTAACCCTCCATGGGGGAATGGGCTCCCAAAGTCCATTCATGCAGTAGGGATAAATACTGTTTCCACCACCAGAGGCCCTGTAGACTGCTCAGGCCTCCTAACTGACACCCACATTCAGGCAGCCTGGTTCAGTCCTATGTTGGTTCCCCGACAGTCTGGCTGGGGTCCGTGAGCTTCCATTTGTTCAGGTCAGCTGTTTTTGAGGGTTTCTCCAGGATTGCCTTGACCCCTCCCTCTCTACAACTGGATTCCTGGAGTTTCTTTTTTAAAAAAATTAGTTTTATTGACATTATAATACAGTTACAACATTTTCCTATTTATGTGTGTGTGTGTGTGTGCACGTGTGTGTGCATGTGTGTGTGTGTGTGTGTGTGTGTGTGTGTGTGTGTGGTGTATATATAAATTCCTAAATGCAGAAATGCAACCTGCTCAGTCTGTGCAATGTTACTCTTATGTATGTTTTTCAGAGATGAGCACTTGGTATGGATAACCAATATGTTCTTCCCTGGGGAAGATTCTCTCCCACTCTGAGTGCTCCTTATTTGCCTGTAGTTCTTTGAGTAGGATTGAGGCCTCATGAGCTTTCCCCATCCACATTAGTGTGTCTATTGGTATCAGCCTTGTTCAGTCCATGTTTAGGCATCCATGTTGGTGACACTTTATACATGGAGCTGCTGACATTCCTAGGAGACACAGTCTCACAGCAAACTCCCTGAAGCTCTGCCAGTAACAACCTTTTACGTTGTAGATGTATCATTTGAGACTGGGCTCCACAACTCTTCTAGTAATCAAGAAATATTCCTAGGCCCATTCATGTGGAAGCAGAGGTGTCCTTGTTACTGCAGCAATCCAGGGGAAACTGTCTCTCATGGCATATAGTTATTTAAATCTTCCATATTTTCAATCTTTTCAAACATGAGCCTATGGGGAAAAAGCCTGTAGACTAAGTGTTTGCTGAACAAATTAATTTCATAAAAATACTGCAAAAGTCTTGGCCACTAAATGGTCCTAATTAAGAAATTTAATGATACGATCACACAGTTATCTCCTGTCGTTTCTCAGCTGACAAAGGATAGCAGAGGAACTGAAGCATTCCTCATATATGAAACATTAATTAGCTAGATTATTAAATGGATGCTTTGTGCCCTTTAGGTATTTATGTGTACCAAAATAGGTACAGATCAATCTTCTTTTATGTACTTGTGTGATATATGCATACACACATCATATATTTACATGTTATATATGCATAGGTGTATCATATATGTAAGTATAAATGATATATAATCATAAAACACACATGTGTATATACATAAATACATGTAAAATGAACATTAAGACAGGGATCTAATCCATTTAAAATACGAAACAGGAGAATCTTCTACTCAGAAACCCAGCTGAAAGCAGGATATTTGGGTTTAAATTAGAATAAGTGACAATACCACTTGATTATTAAATGGAGTTGAAAAGGAAATCTTGAGGAAAGACAGGATATGACTGCATATGTTCTGTTAAGTCAGAAATTTAGGTTGGCAAGGAAGGGGAATAATCCTGCAAACCAGAGCCGAGAAACCTGAGCTTTGTGAACCATTTGAGGTCCGTAACCCATTGTAGAGAGAGGCACTATAAATGATTATTAAATGGTTGTTTCTGGGGAAAAAAAAAAGGTGAAGTGAGGTGATAAACATCAACATTTCCTCATTTCCCCATCCAGTTTTCCACTATGAAATTTGTCTAGAAAATGTATGAGTCAGTTGAGAAACACCTTTTTTTTGATCATGCCAATGGTCTGATATTCAAATTGTCAGTTCCCACCTGACCCATTGTGGATGAGCCATTGGGATAATAAACCTTTATCCTTCTGGCTCACCAGAAACAATTATGGGTCTCTAAAAATCATGATTATCTAAAGGAAGACAGTAGAGCCACCCACCATGATGCTGAACCTTACAATGACTAGACACAATGCCATGTGACAATTGTTTGGAGGAAGTTGAGGCAAGAAGGACACACACACACTTAGGAAATGGTTCAAGGACTGATGATGAATCCCAACATCAGGAAAAGAAGTTGTGTTTTCCATCTACCTTGATAAATTAACCAGGAGAAGAAACTTATTTAATTTGATAACACATATTTATTAACACAAACAGTAACAAGGAAAGAATGCTGCATGTGAGGACAACAGCCCCTCAGCAGGGTATAAAAGGGGATGCGGGCAGGGAGACTCCCACTTCCAAACCTTCCAACCCACCTCCTTGTAAACCCGCCCAGAACCTCCACCTCTCACACCATGGTCAACTCCTGTTGTGGCTCTGTCTGCTCTGAGGAGGGCTGTGGCCAAGGCTGCTGCCAGCCCAGCTGCTGCCGCCCCAGCTGCTGCGTGTCCAGCTGCTGTAGACCCAGCTGCTGCCAGTCTGTGTGCTGCCAGCCCACCTGCTGCCGCCCCAGCTGCTGCATTTCTAGCTGCTGCCGCCCCAGCTGCTGTGTGTCCAGCTGTTGCAGGCCCTCTTGCTGCATCTCCAGTTGCTGCAGGCCTCCCTGCTGCCGCCCCACCTGCTGCATTTCCAGCTGCTGCAGGCCTTCCTGTTGCCGCCCCAGCTGCTGCCGCCCCAGCTGCTGCATCTCCAGCTGCTGCCGCCCCTGCTGTAGCAGTTCCAGCTGCTGTGGATCCAGTTGCTGCCGCCCCAGCTGCTGCAGGCCTTCCTGCTGCCGCCCTACCTGCTGCATTTCCAGCTGCTGCAGGCCTTCCTGTTGCCGCCCCACCTGCTGCCGCCCCAGCTGCTGCATCTCCAGCTGCTGCCGCCCCTGCGGTAGCAGTTCCAGCTGCTGTGGATCCAGTTGCTGCCGCCCCAGCTGCTGCAGGCCTTCCTGCTGCCGCCCTACCTGCTGCATTTCCAGCTGCTGCAGGCCTTCTTGCTGCCGCCCCAGCTGCTGTGTGTCCAGCTGCTGCAGGCCCTGCTGTAGCAGTTCCAGCTGCTGTGGATCCAGCTGCTGCCGCCCCACCTGCTGCATTTCTAGCTGCTGCAGACCTTCTTGCTGCCGCCCTAGCTGCTGCATTTCTAGCTGCTGCAGGCCTTCTTGCTGCCGCCCCAGCTGCTGTGTGTCCAGCTGCTGCAGACCCCAGTGTTGCATCTCCAGCTGCTGCCGCCCCATCTGTTGCCAGACCACCTGCTGCCGCCCAGCATGCTCTAGTGGTTCCTGCTGCTGAGTCCTCTCATCCACAGCCTCCAGCTCTTCAAGGCCCAGCATTCCTGATGTAGCCCTCCTGTGAGCTGATCCTGAGGAGCCCATTGTAAAGCCTCTGTTCCATCAGATAATGACTTTGGCTCCAAACATCCTTTCACTGTTGCTGCCTCCTGAGTATCCCTTTACAGCATGTAAACAAGTTTGTGTTTTCTCTGGGTTCTGTTAACCCTCACCTTAATCTGATAGAAATCCTTGTTGTGTGCCATAGTCTTAAAATGGAGACTTTCTTACATGTTAAATAAATAAAATATTTGCAGTTTTACAAATATAAAAACATGTTTCCTTGTTTCTCTTTCTCAAATGGTTGTTTCTCACCTCCAAACTTGTAGTTTGCTCATCTCTAAATAGCAAAGGAACTAGAGCTGGAGATTTCTAGTATGTCCACTCTGCTCCCTCTGCATTCTCCTCCCAATACAGAAAGATGGTTTCATAGAGCATGCACAGGAAACTCACTCTTGGTGATTTTCTCTGGCAAAGAGGAGGCTTAAATAGGCGAGTATTTAAATATTCTACTCTGAACACTCAAACAGTTCGAGGATGGGTGAGTAATGCTCTTTTCCCCTTCCCCTTGAATAAACATGTGCCCTTTCCTTTAGCTCTGCCACCCTCTACTCCGTCTCTGAATCTCTGAACAGTGTCCTCTAAAGTCATCTGGAGGTTAGCCCTTTACTGTCACTTGTTGCTAAGGGTCAGATTTGTCCCAGTTGGTTCCACAATGGGAGGGGCATACATGCTAGATGCTAAGGAGTTAGTGTCAATAAACCTTTAAGTCACTAAGAGGTATACATGGAAATGTCTTTAGGTTAAGCTTATCTGAAGTCTATTCTGCTTGTCCTGTAGGTAACTTTTTAACATCTGAAAGATTTCGTGTAGGTTCTCTTGTCAGAGCTTGCACTTTTGTAAAATGTTCTCAGACTGCCCTTAATTATAAGGGAAAATGTTAGCAAAACAATAGATATAAAGCTTTTAAAAAAACCTATTCAAAAAAATTAAAATTAATTTAAAAATTAAGTTCCTGCCTACAGATTTATGAGTGTCTAGTGCCTATTAATTCTTAGAAAATTTACATAGGGAGGGAGGGAGGGGGGGAGAGGGAACTGGAATCAACATGTAAAATAAAAAATAAACAAATAAACTGAAAATTGAAAGAAAGAAAATTTACATAGAGCTATGGCATAAGAAAAAAAATCTGTCAACAGATTGCATCATTATACAGAAAAGGTTTATAGGAGTTAATTTAGCTTCTGCTCCTAAAGTAAAAATTAGACTCTTTGGTTTAGTAGGATAATTTGATAGCACACCTAGAATAGCACCTTTAGCTGGAGTAATTTCCCACTCAAATAATAGTGTTGCATTCCAAAAGCATAATTTGAGGCTGGGTACAGAGATAGAGATACATACAACAATAGATATGATGAGAAAAAAAATTGTCATTCATAGTACCCCCCCCAAAAAAAAACCTAACACATCAACCAATGTTTGGAAAAACTTCACAATAAAAGTGTGAAACCCTGAAGAAACATAATGAAAAAGACATTAGAAGTTGGAAAGATTTACAAGTGATTATACATGGGTAGAATTAAAGTTATAGAAACACTTTTGTAAAATGTTTCAACTGGCCAAAGCAATGTTGAACAACAACCAAAAAGCAACATTTTACACTATTTATAATATTATGCTTGGTTATATATGTACATGCACTTATATATATTATATAAGCTTTAAATATATAAGTAGACTCTACACCATTTTAATTCTTTTGCTGTTTAAAATACTTCTCTTAAATCTTAGACAATTTCATATAGCATGTTTTGGTCATCTAATCCTGCCACTCTTCCCCCAACTCCTCCTAGATCAATTTTTACCTCCTTACCTGCCCTCCCCACAACTGTATGTCTTTTTTGTTGTTTTAAAATAACTATTGACTCCATCATGCTGCCTATATACCCCAGGTATGAACCACCCACTGAAGTATGGTTGACTTCCTAGGAGCCACATTTTTAAAGAAAACTGACTCTCTGTAGCCCAGAAGACCTCAACTGTCCAAGGCTCTTCAGGTGGGAGTTGGGGGTTTGTGGAAACATTTTCCACACCTTGCAAGAATTTTGACTAGCTTGATCGACAGTTTCCATGATCCTCTCCCATTCATGATAGCCCCTTATCTTTGAGGAGTGTAGGTAAAGAGTCCATACTGATGTATTCTCTGTATGTTGACCACTTCTAAGTTTCTGTGCTGATTACTGTTAACTTCACAAAGACTCTTCTCTGATGAGAGCTGGGAGCTGCCCTAATCTGTGATCAGGGAGATAACAATTTAGATGGCAGTTTGACACCATGTATATTTAGTAGAATAATAGTGCTATATTCTTCCTTGTGAGATGCCTACCCATGAATTCTTGACCATACTTGTAGTATAAGGCATATGCAGATTAGGTGTAATCCAATCAGAAGCAGTTGATTATATCCATGGAAATCATGCAACTATTATACATGTGAATAAATCTTGCCACCTTGGTCATTATTAACATTTGTAGGGTGACTCCTGATGGCTGTTTCTCCACAGCTGCCTGCATTACACATTGCAACACTATGTGTTGCAGGGAGGAAGCTTCCTGATAACAAGGAACTTGAATTATCCATACCCTATTGTCAACGTTTATGGTGGTGACACCAAAATTAGGGTTTTATCATCAAGTTCTAGTGTCAGTATATCTAGAGTATGGGGAAATGCTATAACAAAGGCTTAATATGCATTTGGACACTGTTTTTAGAGATGCCTGGCCTGAAGTTGTGTGGGATAGGCTGAGGTTTTACCAATTAATGCTATAGGTTAAAACGAGTTCTGGGAGTGAGAGAATACGACCCTGACATCCATTTACAGGGAAGTTGCATAAGAGTAAGTTGTAATTGTTTAAAGAACAACCTGAGATAAGAATTCTTGTACAAATGGCTTAAAAGGATGAAAGTTGCAATTTACTGAAGAAAAGATGATAGAGTAGAAACATGTGAGCTAAGAAGCATTCTCAGGGGACTCCATTTCATTTGACATGTGAGGACGATGCAGAGCATGTGTGAGACCACATCTCCTCCTCTGTTATAACCTAAGGGTTTGGATCTTTGCAGAGCTTCCAGCTGTCATTACTGGCAGTTCCTCAGGGAAGGAGGAACAGATGCAAAAAGGACAGACAATGTCTAGAAGAAGTGGCATCTATAGCTGATGTCAATGATCTGATTTAGAGGGCAGCATGTACTGTTTGAGCTCCCTGCACTGTAGACTCACACAAGCTTAAGAATGAGGAAATTTTAGGCTTTAAAGTCCTGGGGTTCGGTGTCATAGAATCCATCCCAACCACCTGCTTCTCTTTATTCTGGTTACTCTGTGTGGATCATCAACATTGCTAGAGAAAATATCATGGATGTGCTAGTGGCCAGACATATGCTGTTTGGGATTATTTGCCTTGAAGAGCCACTGTGATGTTTAATGGTAACTGTCAACTTGATTGCTCTAGTGGCCTAGGCAATGAACTTATAGGGATATCTAATGAGGAATGACTTAGCCTTTGAGCATGCCTTGGGTTAAGTGACTCAGGGAGATCCAGTTTAAGTGTTGGAAAGATCATAAGTATCCTGGATCGTATAAGATAAAGTAGCTGATAGCTCACACCCATTCTGTGCTTCTGGACTGTGAATATCATAGAAATGTCCACCTCAAGTTCCTGTTACCTTAACATCTCTGAATTGAAGGACTACATTTGAATAAATCATTTGCTCCATAAGAGAGATTCAGTCTGATTATTTTATTACAGCATCAGGAAAAGAATCTAATACATATGCTAAGCTTATATCTGGAGACTTCTGCTCTATTGGTTTCTAACTTCATACTGGACCATATGCCTTGCTGCTTCCCCATGTAAAAAATAACAATAACTAAAAGCATCAGGACTTCAGTATTGTGTTATCTGGTCTTCTACCCATGATGCACAGCAGTGCTTCAACTTATCTTCTTTCTTTGACTAGACATCAGAACTAAAATGCACATAATCTTTAGTCTTGCTCTGCAATCTGTAAACTCTCAACTTATGACCATGTAACACTTGTACTTTGAGATGTTTTTCAAAAGTGAAGATTTTCATGTATCTCAAATAAAACTGAATATTGTAGGGATACATGATAAAAAAGCTTTATGTCTCATCATTTTGCCTTCACTGCCCACATCTATAAAAATATTTAGTACACCTCTGAAAATGAGTAGATTACAATAGCTAATTTCTGAAATTCAGTTCTGGTTGATTGAATGAGAAAAACCTCCGTAGAGCCATATATGTGAAAACTTGGTCTCCAGTTGGAATTTTTGGGAAGGATTAGGAGGTGTGGTCTTATAGGAGGAAGTGTCACTGGGGGACAGGCTTGGAGGTTAAAAAATCCAAATGCCATTCTCAGTTAGCATTTTCTGATTTATGGTCCTGTGTGAGATCTCAGCTGCTGCTCCAAAGCAATGCCCAACTCCCCCCTGCCATGTGCTCACAACATGTTCATGCAGTCTAGTTTACTGAGAATGAAAGCTGCAAATACATTCACTCTGTCTTCTATAGATTGCCTTGCTGATGGTATCTATCACAGCAGCAACAACAAAACAAAAACCACATATGAAACATCAGATGATTCTACTGCAACATTTTTTTCCTAGTAAAAATTGACTTCAGGATCATGCA